AGAGAATAGTGGCTGGGAGAGAGGAAAAACTTAACAGGGGCATTGACCCTTCAACCACACCTGTAAGAGCAGGTAGGATTTAGGGAAATGCACGTTATTTCATTGATCACCAAACAGATATGTTTGGCTATGAGTTAACACAGGAATAAGACGGGAAGTGTAATTAGAAAGGTAGATTTGGGGGCACTGAATGCCAATCTGGATTAAGTAAAAACAAGTTCAAAAGAAGTTAGGGTCTGCCTTTTCCAGTCTGCCTCCCGCATCATGTTTCTGTACATGTAACTTTAGGGAAGAAGTTGTTTCTGCAGCAAGACCACCATAAATCTTACAGGAAAATGTAATGCACAAATGAAGCCTCTGATGTTGCACCAAGCTCCAGACACGGTTGTCACAAATTCAGTCAGCACCCATCATCTGGGAGGGGAGGTGGAGGGGAAGGTCTAAAGGCATGGAAAGGGTGCCTCTGGGGCACACATATACCCCACGCTTATGGATAAGAGGGAGAGCAGTCACAGCAAGAGGGTAGGGCATTATACGGGTAAAACAACCCAAATAAACCAACAATCCAAAAATCTTCTATAAGGTGGAACGTGGGCTTCAATTATTTATCCATTTATTCAACAAACATTTATTCATGGTCTAGCATATGATATACTGGTAATTCTCAAACATCTGAGCCAAACAGCCAAACAGAGCCCACTGGCAACCCCCTACTTGGGAGGAGTTGGAAAGCCCTTCCTCTTCCAGGGAGTCCATTCCCAGGGGCTGGGAAGCTGTGTGTGTGTGTGTGTGTGTGTGTGTGTGTGTGTGTGTGTCTGTGTGTGTCTGTGTGTTCTGGGTTTAAAATCTTTCCTCCTCCCCAAAACTTGAGTTGTGGGCAGAAATATCACTTTACCGTACAGATCAGCCATCAGCGATAATACTGTCCGAATGCCAACAAACATCCATGCAAAAAGCAGCCTACACGGAACCCTCCAAAAGTCAGCATCAGAAAGAGGCTGCAGCCTGCAGCTCACCCAGGACAGAGGCACTTCCGCCTGCACATAGAAAGGCACGTAACTTACATTTCATTTAACCCCAGGTATTGCATCTCATCTGAGGAAACTAAGCCATGGTGTTGATTCAGAATGTACACGTATAGTAATGATGACCTGTTATGCCTGCAAGAGCCCTTGACCAGGAAGTGAGTGTGAAGATGCTGGAAAATCGATGACCTTCTGTGGCAGAGGCTGTGACTAACAAAGGACCAAGCATCGCCCCCCCCCCCAGGACCATTCTTTGGCCCTAACATCCAGACAAAGGGGAGCCAAAAGCAGATCTGAACTTAGAAAAGGCCGTTCTGACTGGGGCGTTTGGGGATTTTCTGATCAGCAATAATTGTGCTCACTTAGCCACTTTCATCTCCAGAGCTCAAGCCTTTAATCAATTTCTCACAGTGATCTGGAAGGTTGATCCCCTATAAAATGGCTCAAAAAATAAAAGTGGGTCAGGGAGAAGCTGATGGCTGGGCTCAAGGCTTACTGCTAAATCAGCCTCAGGATTGAGAACAGAACTTTCTTCTTACAGGAGGTCCCGTAGCCTGAGAAGCCTGCCACCAAAATCCAAAATCTTTTTTTAACTCCTCGAATCAGCACCATCAAGTCAGAGCTAAGAAATAAGTAAGTGTTGGCTAGTGGTGCCAGCAAAATGAAACAAGTGCAAAAATCTAGTTAAATACTCAGGACATGTTGGCAGACACCTCTGCTTGTCAAATTCCTGGTTGTCTGAATGGTTATTTACATCGGAATTAATTTGCACTGTGGGAGGTTTAATTTTTTTTTTTAAGTAGCAGCAAAGAGCCTACCAGAAACTATGCTGTCTCCAAAAACGTCCTGTCCTTCATCTCTGATGTATTCACGGACATAGGAAATCCATCACTCTTGTGCTCTGAGAGATCCTAAGTGGGAATTCTCACTCAGGCATCATAACTAGCGCCCCTGCCATCCTCCTGGCCTATCCTGGACCTAAGGCCTGCTCCCTGGACCTCACACTCCTGAAGAGTGCAGGTTCAAGGCAAAGGCCCTAGGAAAATCTGAACATTCTTTAAAACTTGAAAAGAAACGTGTGAAGGTGGCCAAAAGGTACGCAGTTCCAGTTGGAAGGGAAGTAAGTGCTGAGGATGTAATGAACTGCATGGTCACTCCAGTTACAAGGCTGTATTGTGTACTTGAAAGTTGCTAGGAGGGTAAATCTTGAAAGCTCTCACCACAAGAAAAAAAAGTTTGTACCTACGTGAGGGGATTGATGTTATCGTGGTCATCATTTTGCAACCTATCAAATCATTTTGTTGTACACCTTGGACTAATACAATGTTATATGCAATTATATCTCAATAAAACTTGAAAAATATTTTTTAAAAAAAATTTGAAAAAACATATTGAGGAAAAATAAAAGGAAATGTTACTTACACATTTTGAGTTCTTTTCATTTATTCAACAAATATTTAATAAGAACATACTATCTGTCATTGTCACATTATGTCTTGGGAACACAGATATTTGAAGATGTACCACATCACCTCTATCCACAAAGAGTTCATGTTTAGTGGATGATACAAACACAGAAAATGGTACATATTTAGGGGCGGAGTGGAATTAAGGTTGAATTTTATATACTAAAACTCAAATATACAAAAATTATAAGCATATCATCTGTAACTATTCTTATCTTGTGCTCAGTCCTCAATGAGAACACACACAAATCTTAAATTTTCCAATGAAAAATAACTTGGGCTCTTCTAAGAAACATTTTTTTCAGGTACATATTTACTCACTTTCCAAGTTCAAATCCCCTCTCAGGTCTGTTTTCCCTTTCCAGAGGAGCAGAGTCGGGGTTTTAATGGGAAGGATGTGGAGAAAGGTGATACAGGCTGAAAATAGTGTTTCTGGCGCTGTGCACACAAATGAACGCTTTACTGGCCTGTACCAGGGGAAGCCGGCATAGCTGGGGGTCTTCCCTGACCTTCTGAGACTGATGCCAGCAGGTGTGGCTGTGTCCTTCCCATTCCTAAGCATTCCAACTCTCCTCATAGACTTCATGCCGGGCCAACCATGTTGTCTTTTCTGAGATCCCCATGTTCTTATCTTACACTAAGGCTGAGGAAAACACCCCACAGTCTACCAGGCTACAAACCAGGAACATTCCAAACAAACAAGTGGCACTACCAAGAAATCCTTCATTTTGTTCAAAATGGTCACTGCAAATCAAAATGCTGAATCATGCAGCCAAAAAGAAAAATCAAATGATAAGTGCGTCTGTTCATCAAATCCAGTCCTGATGGCTGCAGTGTGAATATTTTTACCAGCCTTTGTTCCATGACAAAAAGATCAGCTTCCCAAAAAGGAAGGGTCTACATCAGCACTTTCTCTGCCTTTTAATGAAACATTGTCTGTTCTGGCATAAAGGGCTTGGGATAGAACCAATTGTTTATTTTTTTCTGTTCCCCGAAGAAGACTTAATTCCAGTTTGTTCAAGATCAGGAAGTACCTCGCTATCTTCACCATCACCAGACATAACGTTGTCTCTGAGTCTCCCATTATTCTAAGGACGTTCAAGGGCAAATTAGACAGCAGTGTTTACAGGGATTGTATACCTCTATGCAATAGAAACTTGAGGAGCTGCAGGGCTGCCAGTTGGGATCCCACATATGAGGGCCAGTGACACTGCTCCCTCTACAGCTAAGATGGTGAACAATAGCTCGACCTGGAGCTGGGCTGCCATGAGTCACCAGCAAAGGTGTAGGCTGCAGTGGACTGCCGTAAGCTACCATGAGTGGCCAGCAGCCACCGTGAGCGCCCGTCCAATGGCCGGTAACCGATCTGCCTCAGCCAGGAAGAGGCAATGATCACAATACCAACATGGGCCAGTGAAGCAACATCCTCCACAACTAGACTGAAGAACAAAA